AATGCTCCTTGGAAACAAGAATGGCCAGACTTTGTCTCACCTATTTTGGTCATGTTGTAAGAAGGGACCATTCCCTGGAGAATGATGTCATGCTTGGTAGGGTGGAGGGTCGACGAAAGAGGGGGAGGCCTTCAATGAGATGGATTGATAACGGTGGCTGCGATGATGTGCTCAAGTATAGCAGGGATTGTGGGGCTGGCACGGGATCGGGCAGTGTTTCCTTCTGCTGTGCATGGGGTCACTATGAGTCGGAAATGACTCGACGGCACTTAACAACAACAACAACAACAATCAAATTATCAATTTTAGAGATACATAGAAAATATGAGTGAAGAAACACCAAGGAAAACAGATTGATCACATATATTTAAATCCTCCCCCCAAAAAAACACTTCATTTAAATGATAATAAAAGGATCAAAATGGTATAAACCTACAAATCAAAAAGAAAAAAAAATGAGAAGAGAGGCAACAGTAGATGAACAATGTCAGCAGGTGTTTTTGAAAATGGAAAACAGAAGAAATAATTGACTAGGCAGATCCAACTGGGAATTCCATTTATGAATGCCTAGAGTGTGAACATAGCTGAGGTTTACTCAAAAGGCAAGTGCTGAGAATGGGTTTATGAGGCATGTGGCACTGTAAAAACAACTAAAACCATTTATTTCTGAAATCTGTATAGCCACAAGAAGAAATGTGAATTAGAAAGTGCTGTCTGGGCAACCAACAAATACAGACCTTATCAATTTCTCTTTTCAGTTTTATGAAATGGATGAATTTAAGACCAACGCAGTAAGATTTCAGATGAGATCCCTAAAAATGTTCCACATGAGCCTCCAACTTCTTGTTAGAATTTTCTAACAAGCAGAACACTTTGGCCACGTCAAACAACTAAATGATATTATGATAGAGAAAATTCCTATTATCTCTCCTTTTCTCTCTCTCTTTTTCTTTCTCTCTCTCTCTCACATACATATACACATATGCACCAAAAAAAAAAAAAAAAAAAATTATGTGCAATTAAGTATTATGATGGAGAAAATTCCTATTCTCTCTTTCTCCTTTTCTCTCTCTCTTTTTCTTTCTTTCTCTCTCTCACATACATGTACCAAAAAAAAAAAAAAAATTATGTGCAATTAAGTTTATTTACTTATTTTTTTATCTCCTGTGACCATATTAGTATTATATAATGTAATTCCTTGGTTTGTGCTTAAAAATAACATTCCCAGGTCCCATCCCTAAAGATTTTCCCTAAACCTGTAAATGTGACCAAAATATTTCTTTTGAAAGTTGGAGAACTCCCCAAGTACAGTCATTACTTTGGTCAAGACATGTTTACATTAAACATGTAAGAGATCATGATTGTCATTATCTTTGTCTTTTTCTTTATGTTGCTATAAAGAAGTGTCACTGGGTATAACCTTTTAGTTAGCCCAGTTTCCCCAGGTTTCAAAGGAGGGAGCTTTCTTTGAGGTGTGCTTTCTATATGATTCACTGTGGGGAGCAAGAACCATTGAGCCTTGCAGGCTTCTGCACCTGGCAGGTACCCAGTAAATTGCCATGCAGAAGTGACTTGTGTGAACCCATAATTGCTTTCTCATTCCTCCAAGTGGACATGGCAAGATCTAAAGGGGAGTAGGGCTGCCAGAGCCTAAACCATGGAGCTTAGTACTTGACAGATGCAGCTTGAAAGCCCTGTTGGTCACATGACTCTCTCCCCTCAGTACACACACACAGGTGCCTCCTGAATAATCAAGGGTAGATGGAAGAGCTGGTTTCTGGCCATTGTGCTGCTACCTGCCAGGGTTCCTTCATTAAATGTCCAAAATCATTAACAAACATAAGCCCTGTTTCATCATTCCTAAAGTGAAACGTATCCACCAGAATAACATTATGGATCATTCCAGTTCTAGAATTCTATGGCAAACTATAAAACTCAAAAGAGGGAATGGTAAGTGACTGTTTATAATGGAAATAGATTGTAAATCTGTGCAGTGCTGATTAGTGTTGAGCATTTAGCACACGTGCTTGGAGTCAAGTACAAGAGAGACCCCTTCAGGTCTGGTTTGCTCCTGGCAACATGAATATGTCATCCAACACATGTATACCATGAATAACAAGGGAAAACAGAAACAAGTATTTTTTTTTTTTTTTTTAATCATTATTACTCAGAGAGAATGCCCTTGGCAACACTCCCAAAGAGAAAGCTGCAGAAGGTGGGTGAGGATGGAAAAATGACTGTATCTCACCTACAAAAGACAGGCTGTTATTAAGTAACATTTAAAATTTTTTCCTTAGTGATGCAATCATTTTAACATTTTTTCCCTAGGGCTCTGTGACCTATTTCAGTAACAAAAGACCAGTTGTTCCCAATGATGTACCTAAACTCAGCTATAAAAAAAATTTAAGAAATGAAACTTGAAGGTAGAACGGAAGAGTGCCCATAGAAGGCATCAATAACTTCATTTAGAAAGTAATTTCTCATGTTAGAGAGGAAGTTTTCCTCTTATCTGTGTAACAATTTCATAAGAATTTAACAGATTTATCTAGCAACTCAAACAAGTTAGTAATAACAGTGAATGTTAGCAATTAAGGTGCATTTTTGAAGAAGTAAACATACTGCAAAACCAGGGGTGCATTTTTTTCTCCTTTCCATGATCTTAAGGAGCCCTGGTGGCACTGTGGTTAAAGCATTGGGCTGCTAACCAAATGGTAAGGTGGTTCGAACCCACCAGCCACTCCACAAGAGGAAGATGAGGCAATCTACTTCCAAAAAGATTTACAGCTTTGGAAACCCAATGAGTCACTATGAGTCAGAATTGATTCAATGGCAATGGGTTTTTTTGGTTCGGTTTTCTGTGATCTTGGGATTCTTGACAAGCCATCATATTGTCTCACTTGGGAACTTGTTGAGTGTCTCTTTCTTTACTGAAAAACAGTATTTGACTTTCTCTTTAAGAACTACTTCCAAAAACAAGCCAGTTGCTGTCAAGTTGACCCTCAACTCATGGTGACTCCATAGGATTTTCAGTGACTAGTTTTTGGGATGTATATCACCAGGCCTTTCTTCTGAGGCACCTATGGGTAGTTTCAAACCTTTAACCTTTTGGTTAGCAGCCAAACCCATTAACATTTTGCACCACTTAGGGATTCCTATTCATAACGATCTACTTGGGATGATATAATATTGAAACTAGTTGGTGGACTGAGCACTAAAGTTGGATAAATGACTACCATCCTCAGTGCCCAGGGCTCAATGGATAGAAACAGATACAGATTTTGATACAAATTAATGGTAGATTTCACAGATATAGAATTATAAAATCAATATCTAGTCTTAAAATCCATCTCTTGTTCTAGAACATTTTAATAAAGCCAGTGTCTTCACATAGCAAGTGTTTCCTGTGACTGGCTGAAGTTGCATTGTACCCCATGCAAATGTCTGAGAGTATCTATCTTTGGCAGTGTCCTCTGTCTGTTCAGCCATCCTGAGTTCTACATTAGAGTCATGAACTCATAAACCATGGGTTGATGGAAACACAATCCACATCATCATGTGGTTTGCTCTACTCAACAACTAGTCACTCGGCCTTTACTTGACTAATAGGATAGAGAGTCATGTTTTACAAGGCAAAAAAAAAAAAAAAAATCAAACTCAGTGCCGTCGAGTTGATTCAACTCATAGTGACCCCTCCTTGAGTTTCTGAGGCAGTATCGCTATGGAAATAGATTGCCCAGTCTTCCTTTTGAGGAGTGGCTGATGGGTTTGAACAGCCAGCCTTCTGTTTAGCAGTCAGATGACTTAGGCACTATGCCACCAGAGCTGCACAATCCATTTTCAGCAAACTCTAATTGCTGTTTTTATTTTTTGAGTCAAAATCTTTCTTGTTGGCTGTAACTTTCAAATTCTCGTTCCATGCTCAAGTCACTTCAAATGTATCTAATCCCCGATTCTTGTTGAAATTATCTGTTGTGTACTCATCTACTCAACTATTTCATTTACTTGTTATTTGACACAGAAATGTTTGAAATTAGGAACATTTCAAAATGCTAATTTAGCTGAGCAATTCAGGCTTTCATGGAGTAGGATAACAGTTTGTATTCTCTTCTCCTGATTGTAGTTCCTTGCAGTCTATCTCTCTCTTTGCTCGCCATTGCTCACCTTCCCTGCTGCTCCCTCCCCATTGCACTTCTACCCCAAACACCTGCAGTGTGTGCCAAGAGAATTGCAGAAGATGGCCCAGATTTCTGTTTCTTCTGCAAGATTTCTAGCCAGAGCTTGTCCAGTCGGAGGCTCTGCTCTCAATCAGAGCCCTTTTTCTGAAATGGTCAAAGCAGATAAATGCAAAGTCAAGGAAATATTTGTGTTTGACTGAAATCTAAGCCCTAGGGCCTTTGTTTTGTTTTAGTTTTAGTTTTATAATATATCAAATACCCAATAGATGCTTTTTCAATGCCTTTGTAAGTATTAACTAATGTTTACCATGCTGATTGACATCTTTATAAGGAACTCTACAGAAATGTAAAATTAAGTCAGTGATTTGTATTCCAGTGTGAGTGTAGTGATTATCACATGGAGCTTATTGTAACAGTGGTGTAATTACTGATAAAAATTACCTATTACTGATATAATATGATTGAGAAAATCAATACCCTTCTTGATTGTGATTTTTAGAAAATACCTTTAGGCAAGTCTAAATACAAATGATGAAGTGGAATATTCTTGGAGGTCTACAAGAATTTTAAATTTTTATGATGCAAAGATTTAATTCTGAAAACAAAGTATAAGGTTTAAAAAATATATATATATATATATATATATATATATATATATGTATGTATATCTTTGATAAGAGATCTTAGAGGAAATTAAAATAAGCAATCTAGACGAGAGCAAAAATTACATTACTTCATTAAACAAATAAACAAAAAACTTGAGAGTCATTATAGGATGTCTTACCAAGTATATGTTCAGTCCAATAAAACCAGTCTTGCCTCTAGTCCTTAGAAAGAAACTGGAAGTTAATTCGTGATGAAGGCCTGGCAGTGATGGACAAAGCCAGAGGCCTCTTTCTGCCTGAGGATGAAAACCTGAGGGAGAAGGGCGACTGGAGCCAGTTCACACTCTGGCAGCAAGGTAAGTTCTGACTTCTGCCTCGGTCAATGCGGCCAGACTTCAGGAGAAGTGAGCACCAGTCTTTGTCTGACTTCTGCCTCGGTCAATGCGGCCAGACTTCAGGAGAAGTGAGCACCAGTCTTTGCATGATTTTCCTCAGACTTAAAGGTCTGTATTCTCAGACTTAAAAGAGACTGCCCAGAAAACATAGAGTTTGGAAATACATTCATAGTTATTTTTTAAAACTACGTAGTTATTTATTTAAAACTACATATGAACATTTATTTGTGTGTGTGTGTGCAGGTGTATATGCATCTACATGTGTGTGTAAATATTCACATGTATTTAAATAAATATATGTCAGTAGTATTTTGTTTTTCTTGACCTCTCCTGTTAAATGTGTGATTCTGACAGAAACCCTTCTGTTTTGGCATAACTAAAAATTCCACTATGTGCTAATACTGTCTTCAAAAGAAACTTTTGGAGTCTCCCTGGTTCCTATAAAATAGAATTTCATGCCAGAAGTGTATCACTATACATGAAAGTTATTATTTGTGACAACACACCTGAATGACAATACAATAATAACTAGTGTCTGAGCTCTTCGAGAATAGGCAGGGTTCAACTCTATATTCTATAAGTGTAACCTAGGCACAAACACATGGAAGGGGCTCCAATATGTGTGTGCTCCATGTATTAATAGATAAATCTGTATTTTAAATGATGAGCATTGAATTTTAACTTTAAGACTCTTCCCAGTTCTCTTTTTGAAAAATCAAGTTAACCTAATTTAACAATATCTGTGCAAAAGTAAATCCATTTGGAAAATTAAACAGTATGTGTTGTACTTCTTTAGGTACACAAGATAAATGGAGAGTATGATATAAATAATCA